CAAGCAGCTATCAGGACCCCCCACAGTTTGTTATTGCTGTGGAGCTGCATATTAAAATTCCATTATACACCTGCTTCAAGAACCCACTGACATTTAGGCAAGGCCGACAGCACTGTTAGGATCATGTTCTTTGATTTCTTTAACACAATTCAGCCTGATTTACTTTGTGAAAAACCTCAGAAGACTCATATGGAGGCATCAAAAGTCACCTGGATCACAGACTATCTGACAGACAGTCCAAAGTTTGTTAGACTGAAGGGTCAGCTGTCTAATCAAGTAGTCAGCAGTACAGGAGCACCACAGGGGACGGTACTCTTTCCATTCCTTTTTACTCTATACCACTCTGACAGACAATAAGCTGAGTACAGGGAGCTGGTGAACAGCTTCTTGGTATGGTGTGGGAAAAATAATGTGATCCCAATTTTTTACAAAACAAGGTAGATGACTGTAGTCATCTACAAATGAAAGGCAATGAAAGGTAGATTTCAGAAGAAATAGGAACAAGTTGATCTGCATCTTCTGGGGAACCAGCATCAGAGCAAATGATTTAAAGAAGCTCAACAAGCTATTAAAAAACGTCTGGTTCTGTTGTAGGAACGCCTAGAGAGCCTCTGGATATATCACTAAGATGAATTCTTCATAAAGGGAAGGATAATGAACAACAGTTTAACATCCTCTTTTGAAGATTGTTACACATATTGAGCGTGTCTTGAGTCAGTGGCCTCTTCAGATCCAATGCAAGACACACCCCTACAGAAGATTCTTCATTGAAAAACTGCCAATTAGTTACTGCAATTTAAATTCCTTTGGTATTTGTTACGGTACTTTTGACCTTAACTGAAATTAATTTAAATGAGCAGAATTACTATCGAATGTTCTTTTATTCTACAGTTGATTTTGATATTAATTAGCAACTAAAGCTTTTGAACGAAATACTCAAGATTAGCATATATTTGAAGCCCTGTTACTGAGTGTAACAGGGTTGCATTTCTTTCAGAAAGGAAAGTTTATGGCTATAATATAATGCCTACATTTTTGCATACTATATTTCTTTTACATACTATAGACTACTTTTGTTCTATTGACACCCAATTTTGTAATGCTCGGGATTGACGGAAATTGATTAGATCAGGTTTAAATAATTTCAATGTTTTTATAGAGGTTTAATCCTAATTTCCCTGGTCTGACTTCAGACCAGAAAGCAGAGTCATAGTTTAGCACACCTATTAGGAGCTTCTCTACTGTTACCCACTTACTACTCCACCCAGACAGTGTCTTTCCCATACCAAAGTCAAATAAATTAGAAAAAAATCATAATGGAGTACATTATGATAATGTAATTAATATTACTCAAATTGAGGGTAAAGTTAAAATAATTAACTGTCGTTTATTCAACATAATATCTCTTTCTTCAAAAAGTCTGTTGGTTAATTATTTGATTTGTGGCAATCAAATTGATTTATGTTGTCTTACAGAAATGTGGCTGCAGCGAGCGAGTTATCTTTCTAAATTACTATGTGTTGAGAAAATACATTTTTGGAAATATATTTGTGACTGTGCTTTTTATTTTATGGTTTTAATGTGGACATCAGGAGGCCTAGCTGTTTGCCATGGCAACGGCTAATGGGGATCCTTAATAAAATTACAAATGTGAGCATAAATGAGGCTACTCCCTCTAGTTACTTAAAGTTTCTCATACACAGACTTTCTGGACAAAGAGGAGGAGTAGCAACAATCTTTCAGTCTGGCTTACTGATTACTCCAAAGCCAGTTAATAATTACAACTATTTTGAATATTTAACCCATAGTTTCCCTCTTTCAAATCGCAAAGCAACAAAACTTTTTTAACAGGTCCATCAGGTCCTTAGTAAGAATTTTTAGATCAGTTTTCAGAGTTTCTATCTGATTTTGTTTTAAATACTGATGAGTTCATTATAGTGGGGGGTTTGAACATCTATGCTAACACTGAAGATGATAGCTTAAATGGAGCCTTTAATGTTACTGGTATCTTAGACCCAGTTGGCTTTGTTCAAAATCTGAATAGTCCCACACATTCTCATCTTTATACTTTAGATCTTGTGCTGACATGGCATTGGATGTGAATCTGAACCGGTATTACACTGTTTTGATCCAGTTGTACTTTCAGAGTTATCAAAACTATTATCTTCATCTAAGCCTACAACTAGTATTTTAGATCGAGTTCCAACCAAGTTATTTAAGAATATATTCCATGGAGAATTCCATCTCCATTTTAGATGTGATTAACACATCCATGTTTACCTTTACTTAAGAAACCATCTCTTGATCCAGATGACTTTGTCAATTATATACCTATATTTAATCTTCCTTTCTTATCTAAAATTCTTCCGCAAAAATAGTTAATAAACAAATTATGACCATAATGAACCTTTTGAATAGTTTCAATCTGGTTTTAGAGCTCATCATAGCACAGAAACAGCTCTCTTGAAAGTCACAAAGGATAGTCTAATAGCCTCAGATAATGGACTTGTATCTGTACTTGTACTGTTAGAGCTCAGTGCTGCATTTGATATAGTAGAACACAACATTCTTTTAAAAAGACTTGAATATTTAGTAGGAATTAAGGGAACTGCACTGGGCTGGTTTAAATCTTATTTATCTGACAAATTTCAGTTTGTTCATGTTAATGATAAATCTTCATGGTCCAAGTTTACCCGTGGAGTACCACAGAGATCAGTGTTAGGGCTAGTTCTCTTTAATATATATATGCTACCAATTGGTAGAATTATTAGACAGCATGGTGTTCATTTCCACTGTTAAGCTGATGATACTCAGCTATATCTGTACATAAATTCAGATGAAACTAAGCCATTACATAGACTACAGGCATGTCTTGAAGACATTAGAACCTAGATTACTCTTAACTATCTACTTCTGTATGCAGGCAAGACAGAATTTATTGTCATTGAGTCTCTGAAATAGAAGCTGATTAGTCAGTCACTTAATTTGTTCCATACCTCTGTTTCATTTTCCTTGCAGGAGGAAAGGAAGGACAGGTCAGAATAAATGGGAAATTAGGTGAAGCTAAAGATTAGCAAATTCTTCAATGGAAACTATTTGCAAGACTTGAGTCTAATGTGGGGGTTTACCTTTCAATAGGATAATGGTCCTAAATATACAGCTAGGACAACAATGGAATAGTTGAAATCCAAGCATAGTGATGATGGATCAGGCACAGGTACAGTTCAGACCTAAGTCCAACATATTTGGGTAGACTTTTTATCAAATTTGACTGAGCTTGAAGGATTAGGCAAAAGAACATAAATATAATCCTTAGAAGTACAAAGTTGGTGTAGACATATTTAACTGTATACACATCTTTGTAAAAACAAGGATCCCCCCCTGACTGATTTATTGTTCATAGCCAAATCAAATCTTTGTAGCCAATTCAGTTTTTAAAAAGAACAAAATAAAGCACCACAGTGGGCTGGGATTACTGGCTCCTCAAAACTGCATATTTGCCGTATATGAATGCATGTTTATGTCATGCTATGGGTTTTACTTTCATGAGTCTCTCCAGGGCGTAACCCTGCTATCCATCCATTAACCTTCAGCAGGTTAAAATCACTAATTTAAACTATTTCTCTAAGAAAACAGAGAATGTCCTGGATTGACTTTTCTTTCTTTTTCTTTTTTCTTTTTTTTCGGCAAAGTGTGAGATGACTTCTTCTGTGAAGTGGTGCTACATAAATAAAGTGATTTAAATTAAATTAAATTAATGCTTTTAAATCTACCCTGTCTTAACATTAAATAAAAGCTACTCAAAGATATAGGGAGAGGACCTCATTTAACGGAAAAGAAAGTAAAATCCTTCACTAGATTTAAGGTATATACTGTATTTCCTTTGAGACATAAAAATTAGTTTACTTTGCATTTGTTCCTACCTTTAAGACATGAATGATAAATATGTTCTATTTTTCTTAAACCCATTTATTGTTGAAAACCCCATGCTTAAAAAAAACTCATGATCCAAACCTCTTGTATTAAAACAGTCCAAAAAATGTAAAATATAGCAGAAGTAACATAGCCTGTAATGTTGATAGAAAATAAAGAGTTTTATTGCCAATCAAGATGCTTTATTTTAAACTGTAAAATAAAAACAACATGAATGCATTACTAGTAAAAAAGCATATTTATAAATAAGAGTAAGAATGCTTGCTTTTTCATATAAACATTCATAAGTAATTAAGCTACATCTATCAAAATCAGCAAGGCAATTATTTTCACTTAATAAATAATCCCCAGATAACATTTTGATCTAAATAAATGCATTTTAATGTTATAAAATCCTCGCTTCTCAACAGAAGTTCAATATAATAGACACTTGCTGTTGTCACTGCATTAATCAGATGAACTCCTCCCTTGCAGAAGAGAAAAGAGGCTCTCTAGCCTTTATTTTTCTATCTTTGTAAGCACACAAAAGATGTTGGCTGTCTAGGTGAGGCCGTAAAAGGTTTGCCTGCAGTAGGCGTGACAGCCCACAAAGACAGACCAACTTATCAGATTTGTCACGGCTTTATCCGGCGGCTCAGTCAGTGGGAAGTCTACAGTCTCAAAACCTTTAGATCAAAATCATACTGATCCTGTAACACATCTGGATTTAGCTCAGCTCTCAGGGGATAGCAGAGTAATAAAAAAAAAAAAGATTTTTTTTTTAATAGAACATAAGCACTGAAGGCACTGACAATCCTCCACATGATGTGCATTGTTTGTAGCTAAAAGGTAATCCATTATGTTTTACAGGACAATAAGAGAAAATAATTAGAAGCAACAAGTTAAAACTTAAAAAGAAAATTTGTAGGATTGCTTGATTGGGCTAATATTAAAAACCATGGCTTTTGAAACATCAAGATGCCATTAAGTCTCCCTCTAGTGTTCACTCCTTGAACATATCGCCAAAAGGCCAGCCAGCTTTCTGGATTGTGTTTTGTGCATCAAATGGTGTGTCTCTTGATATTTACCCTGAAAGATGCTGTTGTCTGTGAGGAAGTGCCGGCGGTACTGTGGCTCTCCTTTCTTGTTCACCACACGGGAGCTCATGATGTGAGGAAGATGGAGAAAAAAATCTCCCACCTATAGCGAGGAGAGGAAGTAATTTAATACTCAGCTTTGAGATAAGAGTGGATTAAAAAACAGTTACTGTCATGCTAAACAGAAGGACCTAGTTGCATTAAATGGATAAGTTATAGGCCAGATCCTTCACCCCCCTATATTTGAACCCTTTTCAAATCTTTCTTCTTTCTCTCCACAGGCGTTCTCATTTATCTTCTTTTTGTTTCATCAACCAGCGTTCCCAAACTCTGAATTTTCTGCTTTGTCTCCCTGATTTCCTGTCGCTGCTGATACTCCCACAGCTACCACTCTGTGATTCCCCACCTGTTGCTCATCTGTCCATTTGATTTAAAGCTTAGAATAAGCTTCTCTCAGAAGCACATACACTGAAGATGCTCAGATCTGGAAAGTGTCAAAGCCTCCAGAGTATTTATTGCCATCTGTTGTCTGTTATTCTTGAGGTGAAAGTATTTTCCTTTGACCCTGTTGCAGCAAAGTGGGACCTAAGCCTGTAATGTGGGCTATGGTTTGAAAATACTAACATATTTTTCTGCTATGTTGCAATTGTACTTAATTGTACAAGTGCAGCAAGCTTTTTAGATGCTTAAACTATTTTATAAGGATACACTGCCAATATTGCTCATGGCTGGCTGTATGTTAAGGAATGTTGTTGTAACAGGCACTTAGGCCACTTTTTTCCTGCCCTACTCATCTTTTATTGCACCTACTCCTAAGCAGAGCCCAAAAGCGAATACTGGGACTGAAAAAGCAATAGTGACATCGGGGTTGAATGGAGAAAGGCCAAGGGGAGGGGGTGCAAAAATGGATGTTAGTAGTAGGTTTGAATGAGGCTTCTAATGCCTTTCATTATAAAATGAAGTCACATGCATTGTCACTCCCTCCATAGCTATCCATTGTTAAAGTGTTGTTAGATTTGTAAATAAATGTTTCTTTTTGCTTAAACTGAAGTTGGTGTAACATTTGTTATAATTTATCATGTAAATACAGTGAGAAAAAGCAATATCAGCCTACAAAGCCCCCCCACCCCCACCCCGAAATTGGAGTACATATCAGGGATTGGATACCCTGTTGTCCAAATAATTGGCATCTGCCTTAAAAGACCTGTATCAGTGAAACTCTAGTTACTATGGGTCTCTTGGCCGTTTCTAGTATGTTTGTTGCTCATAGTCACAGCAGTCAATGTCTTTTCATACAGAATCTGGATTAAAAAGGGCTCTTTGAGATATTGTTTAAAAAACAAACCCTACATTAATCTTCTGTTCAGCCATGACCTGTTTAGCTCATTATTGTTCTCCAATAATGAGCAAAAGCCTCTAAAACCTTTGTAAAACAGATCGATTAATAATGAGTTAAAATTACAAACATGAACTGTACTGTGTTATTAATTAGCTTCTGAAGTTAGCTTGTCCATATTTAGTAGAAACAGACGCCAAATACTTATATAGGCCACACTTTTCAGATTATTATTGGTAAAGTATGTGTGGAAAACATATTTCATTTTCACTCTTTCACACTACACTGTGTTGGTCAAATAAAGTTTGTATCTGTACTTTTCTAAAACACTATAACTGCGGTGCTATTATAGCGACAGTTTGATATGTTATGTTCTCATAACTATTTGATATTGAATGAATTGCAGTTTGTAAAAAGTTTGCATGATCTGATATATCATAAAAACTATTAGAGATTGATTGATTGATTACTTAATGAGAATTTTTTTTTTTAAATTCCACTATAATTCTGATTTTTATTCTTTTGTTACTTTCCAAACCTAAACTTCAAATAAAAGAAAGCACAAATCCTTTCAAAACGATGGCCAAAAAAGCCGCTGCACCTGCCTTTATTGTCATTAATTTTAAATTTATGGGTATGCGCCTCTCTGACATGCTTTGCAATCAAAGAAGATGGCCTGTTGTGCCTCACTACTTAATTATACCACAGTCTATAAATTACTTCATGTTTTCATAACAGCATAATTCATAGACAGCAGCTGAACGTTAGAAGGAGATAACTAGAAATATGGTTGCATAGATTTATTTGCAGATAATAGTTGTGGTGAAGATAGTTAAAGAATAACCACAAAACAATATAAATCAAAAATGCAAAGAATTCTTCACATCAACATTCATTTAAAATAAATGATAAAATTACGTTTTCATCTTTGTTTAGATGTCTACCATATCTACCATTTTTTATCGTCAGCGAAAGGGATTTTTACACTTTTTATACCCAGAAAAAGGTGGCAATTTTTCTTATATCTGTGAAATTTCCACCCATGCTTTTTTTTTCATTAGAGTATGGGCTCAGTCAAAGGTGACAGAGGGTCGCTGTGAACATTTTTCTTTTTATATTTAAATTCTATGTCTGCCTCCGCAGTTTTTACCTTCTGCAGGCTGTTTTCCAGGACTGCCTTGTATTCAACTTCATATATCTTCCTATCAATTCAGAGCCTTTTTCTCACACAGGATTCTTCCGTAAACAGCATTTTTTACCAAGGAGATAATGTGTTCAGTGTAAAGTGCAGTTTATATTTATATTACACAATGCACTTTAAGGGATTTCATAATGACAATGTATTAGCCCAGACATTAGGTTTAGTTTAAAATTAAAATACCGATTGGTGTAAGTACCTACTTCTAAAAAGTTTTTTCCCAACTGCAAATGTTCTGTTTATGCTGCTGAGACAATTTTCTGTAGCAAAACATTAATTCTCAACCTGGCTCTCACTTAGCTCATGTTATCTTTTTTGTATTTTGTTATACCGGTACTTTAAAAGCAAGTTTCCATTAATGAAATCTGTTTTAAACAAGGTCATTTAAACCTCCAACAATCACTAGTTTTCTAGTTTTTTGGACTGGATGTGGTTTTTTGAATGTAATTTTTTGTCTTTAGAAGCAGAGAAGATGCTCATGGAGAAAGTTAGTAACTAGTTACATTCACTTCTGTAACTTTCTTTGGAAAAAATGTGTATTAAGGAGTATTTTTGATGCATTGTAGTTTTCATTTGAGAAGTATTATTAAGAAGTATCACTAGTCTTACTTGAGTAAAAACTTTTGTTAACTCTACCCCATGTGTAACTATATTCAATACAAAACTAACTTCTTTTAACTGAAAACTAGAAATTGTTTGCTTAAAGACCTGGATGTAGAAAACCTTGGCTGTAGATCTTTTAAATCTCAATTTATGTGACTTCAACCCTGGATTTAAAAGGTGAAAGGGGCAATCCACGACTAGCAAGTAGAGCCACTAAACAGACTGAGATGTCAGTGCTGCAGTGAACGAAGTGAAATTGAATTGGATGATAGTAAAACTATATGATTAACCAGGGTCTCTTCCCTGTCTTCCCTTGTTTATAAGACCCATGCAAACTTATGCAAACACCTTTCTGAATTTACTCATAGATAGGATACTTTATTAGACACTGACAGACAACAAAAGGGGCAAAGTGCAAGTCCTAATCCTAAACCAGATGCAGCTATTGGAAAGAACAGCAACAGGAAATTTTGGTGTTTAGCAAAATGACAAAAATTGGCTTATATAGTTATAACTGCATAAACACAGGGTTAATTTTGTGTGTATTCCACATACTTTCACTAATGATTTCAGAGTTAGTAAAATAACTCTTCTGTTTGTATGTAACTTTAGCAGTCCCCTCATCAGACACAACCTTAGTGGAGTTATTCTGCCTGTGCTCTCAGAGTGGTAGACATGCTAAAAAATAAATTCTTCCCTGCAGCAGCGACTTGATCAGCAGCCTAACAGGAAGTAGATCAAGGAGCCCATAAGTAAAAGCTTTTTTTCTAAATCTTTGTTCCTTCAAGTCAAATACAGCAAACGCCAAGTAAAATAAAACTTAACAAGGAAAACACTTTTCATTACATCTAAATTCTCTCTATATTAATTTCTATAACATTTACCTTTATATTTTACTGATGCAAAAATTTGAATTTTATGTTTTTGTAATACATGCGGCTGAAAACAGTGTTATAATAGCCAAAATTTGAAAAAGCGTCATGACATATCAAAGGAAAATATGTAAGAATAACAATTAAGGTATTGGCACAAGGGGTGTGGCAAAAAATCGATTTGCCCTTGTATCAGGATGTTAAGCCGCCCAATATAATATTGATCTTTCAGTTCGATTTAAAAAAATAAACACATTTTTACCTAAAATCAATGAGGGAAAATGGGTTACTTCATCACCACCACTCCGGCGAATAGCGCCATGGAGTCCTTTTGCTCAGCGGCGCAGCGCCATATCTGTAGTTGAGGTAGTCACAGTGGAGGACGTGGACTGACTTAAACACGAAAAAACATCAGTATGAAAATAATTAATTGATCAATACCTTCTGATTAGCATACACAGAACTTGCTTCTTTTTATCTATACATTGCATTTTGAGAGCTGGGTAAAATATCGCAATATATACTGATATTACAATATCATGATAATATCCAATTGTAACCCAAGTATCGTGACAGGTATCATATAGCCACACCCATGCCGATACTCACCCCTATTTGGCACTAATATCGATTGAAGTATTACTGTCTAATTAAATGTGTGGTTTAATCAAAGTCTAACAGTATTTCATCAGTCCATCTTGATATTTGATTATGACATGTATTTGCTTCAACATTGTTTCAACATTGTGTCTCCTCAGAAACATCCCTAGGTTCCGGCCATGTGCAAAAATGGTGGAATAACCTTGTCTTTCAGGTTGTCACCTAGCCTTTATTTTTTAGCCGGATGATGTTGCTGAACCTTATCAACTGCAGCAACCAAAGATCATGGGCTTGAAGGGTGGCCACCATGATAGGTGCATTCCTTTGTGCACCAACACTATAAAAAAGGGATGTCCTGATCTGATATTAATATAATATATTGGTTCAATGTAATACATATATTGGGATATATATCCGCCTGCTCGTACAATATCCAATAAACACATGCTGATAGAATCACCCTGCTTCTATTTGCTTCTGTTTAAAATGTATGTAACAAATTGGTTTACAATGAATTGGTCCGATTTTCTTATATGATTGTAGTTGGCTATTTTTCTCTATTTCAGTAATAGCACGTAAGCTTTTCTAATATGCCACACTACAAAATAAGTGATAAATACATAAGATTTGTGCTGAGATTGTATTAACAATCTCAGCATCGATAAACACACATTACTCAGAAAATGAAAAAAGATGTATCAGCAAACCCTTAGTATAAATGTTGACACATAAAACCACATAAACTTTTATGTTTCTATGCAAACCTGGTTCCTTTTTTTATTCCCCTCTGATCATCCCTAATCAGTGGTTTTTGTTAAGGTTTCACATCTGTTTTCCTTCTGGAACTAATTAACATCTCTATTACCCCAAGGATGTGTCGTTTGACAATGTTGTTTAAAGGCATCATCATCAAATCTGACTTTTCCTGTTAAACATGTGTGTTGGTGTTAGGCCTCAGTTAAAACTTGGAAGCCAATCCAGTGTGAAAGAAGCTTAGGCCCCGTTTTGTTTGTTTTTTTGCTTTTTTTTTGTGTGAGCTCTCTGTCAAAACCAGAAAAAAAATCAATGACTATTAAGATTTGTGATGCATTGAAACACTAAAGCTGTATGACTTGTTTAAGGAATTCTGAAAACTTGCTATATAGATAGATTAACATTTAAAAAAATAATAACCACATCTCAATAAATCCATAATCTTAGTATTTATTTTTTTTTACTTCTGGGAAAATAATTTAAAACAAACATGAAAGCCTCAATCTACTGTAAATCAAACTTTTGGGGAAAAGCAATTACTGTATTTTGTATATTTCCTATAATAATATCATTAATATATATCAATATAACATCAATATAATCCTGAATGTTTGTTTCAAAAATTTTACTATATCAAATCCATATACTACCAAATTGTATTTGAAATACACCTGAACATGAAGTCAAATCCAACCGTTATAAAATTGTTCAATAGTAATAATATTGTTCAGGCAAGAGGAAACTGTTTTCAAAGTGTGTATCTCAGCAGATGGCTCAATCAGCTGTCAAATTTATAAAAGATGAATGCTCTTTAGACTTGTGGTTTTCCTGCCACCCAGCTCCTCCTTTTCATGATCTCATCAAATTAGGACCTGATTAATGTTGGCTGAGCTCTTAACCAGATATTCTTTGTTCGTGTTCGCTCTTTCTAAATGACAGATAACTGAGTTTAAACTTTGAGCTGATACTAATTATATTAGGTTTGCTTCATATACAAAACTACTTTACATTAAATAATATAATTCAAGAGGAAAAAGCTGAAACTAAACAGTATGTCTCATTCATTGCTTCAAGAAATGTTTGCTCTTCTTTCAGCGGCCTAGTGACTAATTTCTACAACAGTAGCTCACTCTAGTAGTATACAATGGTCTGATTAAATTATCGTGCCTGGTTGACTTATTATATTTTTTTCTGTGTTTTACACTCTGCAGGTAAACAAAGCACTTTTTGTGTGTACACTGTGGTCAGAAAAATCAATTTACTATCACATTCTTTCTTCTGTTATTTATGAATGCTGATCTATATGTACCTACTTTTAAAAGCATTGTTTTAGCAGAGCACCTTCTAGACAAGGCTGAACTCATTAGAAGCTGTTTCCAGTTTTAGATGTTCTGGTAATAGCCTAGACTAATTTAGACGCAAGGTTATTTCATTAAATGCTTCAGTTTGTGAGAAACTATCTATGTGGGAAACTGTTTATTTTGTCCTTGAGAATCTCTCCCTGTGCTTCTTAAGTAGTTAGGAAAAACCTGTGTAATTCAGAGCAGGCAGCAATATTGGTAATTAGAAATGGATTCAATTAGAAATGCTGAATCAGAATTTCTTGTTAAATAAAACATAGACATTTTTTCTCGTCAGCAATACGCACCATACCGTACCATAACTAAAAGGAATGTTATTACGAAAGCACATATTAATTAAACCAGAAAGTCCCATAGACATTTATTATGTCTGTGGGAGAATTATGAAAAAGTCTAAAAGATATTGGATGCCAAGAGGGATGAAATAAGAGTACAATGCAATATGAATGTTGGTGTTCACTTTAAGGTATAGTCGAGGATGATCTTTGTCTGGGTGAATCATCAAAATATGTGGTCCTCCTAATTGTCAATCACTCTGGTGATATGTTTCATAAAGGCCGTCCTACCTGCTCATCCCCATTTTCACTTACAGGTGGTGAGTCTGACATTGTGGAAAAATTGCAAATCTTCTTTTGGAAAGTAAGCCTGTGTGAGCGATGCAAACAGCAACTTTTGAACAGAGCTTGCAGGAGGAAAAATGAGCTTGTGCATGCTCTCACACGCATTTAATGGGGTGTTCCCTACTCGGGAACGGGTACAGGGTTGTGCACATGCATTTTTTATTTTTATGTAGAGATGGTGGGTCTGTTCAGAAATCAGTGAAAACCTTCACTCTACCTTTAAGTATAATGCTTCAAATTTTGTAATACAAGCTGCCAGCAGATGGCGCAAAAAAGTGTTCATTTTTGTCGCAGTGCAAAAATTATTTTCAGGCTCATTAAGGACTAAGTCAATGCTATGAGGAGTAAAACCGTGTTTAATTTAAAGATGAGTGTGCCATTTTTGTGTGCCATGGGTAGATGCTATCTCACTGAATGACTCACCAACTCATTGACTCATTTAAGGCTTTGCTCTGAAAACTGATATTTCCTGAACAAATTTCAATTTCTATAACTTTAGTTTTTCTTTTTTATGAAAATACAAACATTGATAATCCAAAAAGTATTTTCTTTAAATATTTTGTAGGACTAAATTTTAAATCCTAAGATATTTGTAAATTCATATGTAAAGTAAATAATATAATAATAATAAATAGTAATATATATATAAAAATAGTAATAGTAAATATGTATCTTATTCTTTATTAAAGCTTCATATGAATTTCCATCATGTTATAACAAACCAATGCTTTATAATTAAAAGGTCTGGAAAATCATCCATCGTTAGCCTCTCATCAATTAATTTTCTGAAAAAGGTAGTTGTTAGCCTAACCACTACTTTGTACAACAATCAGCTTAGAGGAAAGACGAGGAAGTTACGCAATTCTAAATTCTCCATCCAGTGCTGTTTAGTGACATTTTAACTTATTCCTGGTAGAGTTACCTGGGGGGCTTCTTGTTATGCAAAGGTGGGGAATAATTAGCCACTATAAACAAAGATTGCCAGGTCATAAAAACTGAGAACTAAGGAGGACATCGGATGGATCGTATCCCCAAACAGACCAAAACAGAACAAACTCTTCTTGCAAGAGAAGAATATCCCTGACGGACATCTGCATATGTGTATGACTGAATGTTAGTGTGGCAATCCATACTAAAATTAGCTGTTTCTGTCTTTTAGAATGAAAGTGTTCTTACTTTCTCATTAATTTAAAATAGTTTATCTTCCGTGCAAATAAAAAATAACACACAGAGGCAATGATGTAGGCGAGCTGAATATAAATGCAAACCAGACCTTTAACAATTTTTTTTTTCTTTTATGAACATTATGTATTATTATCCTTTCTCTTCACCATTATGCCGTCTTATTTTGGTCTATTACATTAAATCCAAAAAAACATTGTGGTTTATGGTTGTAATTTGACATTATGTAAAAAGAGCTTAGGACACATGAAAACTTTTACAAAGCTATGTATTCAGGCAATGTTTAATTCAGTCTCAAACAGTCCATTTTCTTGTCTCCTGCTTTATGAAGTAAGGTTCATTTATTCATGAGCGATCAGAGCACCCACAGAGAGTCAAGTTTCCACTCCTACAACACAACACCAGAAAGCTGATACACTGCTCACAATACTCCCAGTCTCATAGTAACAAGGGAGTTTCTTTACAGCTGATGCATTCCTTCACACACATTCTCAGACTTCCTAGTGCATGTGGGCGTGTTAGGAAATAGCCAACCAGTCTTACCAGAGAGTGTTTAATTGTGATATCCACCTGGATCTTTTAAGAAAAAATCAAATAACCCAAAAAATATCACACTTATCTTAAAGTGACTGTATTAAAACAATAAGTATGAAACAGAAGCACCTGAGGCAAAAGGTAACTTCTGCACTTCTGGGTGAATTTATGTTACACCAGCTGTCTCTTTGTCTTTCACACCCAGTCAACCATGCTCAAGCTACTTAAATCAAATAAAAAAATCCCCAAGGACTGTCCTTTCAAATGGGGGTGGGGGGGTGTCAGTCTCTTTCTAACAGGGATGGCTACCGGCTGTGTGTAATAAAAGCCTTTGTTGTGCTCCTCAGCTACAAGCAGCAAATTCAGCTGAGGCAGAAAGTGTCTCATCAATCATTTTAATAATATATTGATTATAAAGAAGCCCAGGAAGATGACAAATATATCTAGATAAATAAATGGGCACCAAAATCATGCAAGGGTAATAGTGTTCTTCTGTTGGGCATGGAGTAGTGCAATAAACATAGGGACTCATTTATTATGGGTTCCTGTTTTAACCCAGCTGAACAGGTGCACAGTTGTTAGGACACTGTATACAGTGTCCTAACAACTGTACGTTTAACAGGCAGGATGTGTAGTTTGGTGAAATGGAAAAAGTGCACAATTAGGAAGAAAATCAATATACAAAAAATGAATCACTTAATCATTTAAATAACTTCCTCAGGTCACTTACCTCTTTGGCTTTAGTTCTAGCTGTCTGTTTGCAGCTCGGTCAATTCTATCCCCTTTCAGGAGTGGTGGATGTGAAAGCAATCCTTTAGAAAGAGGAAATCCATTGTATTACATATTAGCTGAAAAAATGTAGCTTGCCCAGTGTTGTGTTTTTGAAGGAGAGAACGTCCCAACTTCCCTGCACTGTGTGGGTGAGTACCCACCAATGCATCAAGCATGGTGCCTTTTCAAATAACCACTACTGGTGTGGGACAACTGAGTTTGACAAAGCCTGGAATGGATTTCGGAATGGAGCCTGCTGTCCTTGGAATGAGCAATAAAAAGAAGGTAAAAGAGAAAAAATGGGGAACAAATTGTGTAAAAGAAACTTTAAAACATGTCCAATATCAATAAAAATATCATTTAAAAGATTTATTAACCAACTTGACAGGACTTAGTTATGTGTCTTGTGACACAAAAATGGTTTGTAAGGTTGTTGTTTTTTTTTTTCTCATTCTATAATAACTTGTGTCACAATCTTAAGAAACATGAGAAAAAAGGGAGTCTAAATACTTCCTAACAAATTTTAGACATTGCATTTTATATAATGCATTCAGCACAATATATTATATTTTATTGGTAAGATTTGAATGATAACAACTAATTATCTTCAGTACAAAATGTTTAAATTAAATCAATAAAAAAGAATGCTACATCTATATTTTCCCACTAGGCACCTATTAGAACCCTCAACATGGATGATTTAATTATAATTATTATTATTGATAATAAAAAAAGATGACTATTCACAGATTGTTATGTACAAGCAAAAAGTGTAAAAAAAATAATTGTTAAAAAAAAACAAGACTGAATGAAGTGTGAAGTCACACCCATTAACTGGTTCTGGTCAGTTTCACAGGCTTTTAGGTGTAGCTGGACTCATGTTTCAAGGCCCATCAGACACAGACTTATCCAGGACATGGGCTACAACTGTTGCATTCCTGATGTTAAACGAGTCTTGAAGCAGAAACAACGACAGATGTGACCTACTAGCAGAACAGAGTAGAATATGACCTCATTGTTGCTCAATGTCCCAAAGTCCTCTTCCTAATTTAAGTTCTTTTTTTTTTATTGGAAAATCAAGTGGAAAAAGAGTAGGGAGACTAACTACAAAGGTGCAAGAGGTCATAGGTGACTTTTTTTTTTTAAGCCAGTGATGATTTGATGAGCCATTTTGTCTGCTAGCCTTAGTCCACTCACTGTGGTTTATGTTGTCCAAAGAAAAGCCATCAACTCGCTTGATGTTTTCCTCTACTAACTTAATTAGCAGCTGAACTATAAACCAAACACAACACCAAATATACCAAATCCAGGTTTAAGCCTCTTACTAAAATTGCATTTGGACAGACAAGATTGGTATGCATTGTTTGTGGCACCTATTAAACTATTATTGGGCAATAAAGCTAGAATTTATTATAGCTGAGATGGTTAATAAGATTAATCATGCTTAAACTAATATTGAAATCATATTTGGCTAACTTGGAAAACATTACCTGGGAATATGGTGCAGAGACTTTAAAAATAAAAAAGCCATTTGTCAAAAGAATAACCTAATTATAGCAGTGTTTAACATACAACTCTACAGACATAAGTATGAAATAACATAAATACAATTTTCAATTGTTTATATACCTCTCTATCAATCAATCAATCTATCTATCTATCTAGAAAGAAAGAATCTAGATCTATCTATCTATCTATCTAATCTAATCTCTGATATATATATATATAAATGGAAGAAAAAAAAAAAGTCCTACGAAAAGGCAGATAAACATTTACATCTATAAGCTCTACAGCTATTGAATCCTTATACTTCCAAGCAGACCCACGTGTAATTCTAATCATGAAATGGTAATGATCATAATTTCACTATAGATGATTAGAAAGACAACAATACCTATAATAATATGGTAAAGAGATTGGTATGTGAGCCATTTGGGATTTACTTCAGCAAAGCCGCAAGTTGATCTGCTTCATGTGACACAGCAGTGATGCAGTGATTTAGATACAAGCATTGACTTAGTATGGAGTGCATATCACAGTGTAATAACACACTTTTCAGCAGGCTGACATTTCTGAAATAAAAATCATTGTTTATTGTTCTTGTAATACTCTGGAGTCTAGGTTTCAATAATTGTCAAATTAATGGAAATCCCTGAAACATCTTATTCTGTGTGTAAAGAAAACACATAACGTGTGAGTTTGCCTTTTGGATAAAATTACTGGTATATTGCAAATGCATTTTTTATGTTATTCCAATTTATTCAGATGGATCTGTATAGTTTACGTCATGAATACACAGTGATTTTGAAAGCTGCAAGGGGGAAAAATCAGCCATTGTTCTCCATATTACCACAGAAGAAATATGTATGAACATAATATACAGAAAAAAACTCTGCACTAAACCTACTTATCAGTTAGATGAACAGCCCACACTGTCTGTAAACCTCTGGTATTAAAAACTTTTTTCCTCCTTCTATATCTGAGCCGTAGTTTGTCTCCAACTCCTGCTTTGCTGACAGTTCAGTCTACACCCTCATCAGCCCCCAGAATGCACCTTACAATTTAAACCTACTAACCAATCACAAGTCCCTGTGGCAGTAACAGTCTCTGCTGACATTTGCACAACAAAAGAGACGACAAGCTGATTCATCACCCCCCCTTGCTCCCCCTTTCCCCTCTCCTCAAACCCTCTACTTAAGTCCTGTTCCCTTCCCCAGTGACTCCTCCTCTCTTGCCTTTGTGTTCAGATTCGAAATCCCCCCCACGACTGACCCTCCTCCCTTCTGCATTAATCCCCTTGTGTCCTTTTTGATGCACTGCTTCGACGCTAACTCTCACTACACCAAGACCCCTGCACCCCACTGGGCACACTGGTTTTCCCTCATTTGCTGACCTCCTCCTCTCCTGATTTTACACTGATTGGACAAAGAAGCTAATAGTGCATAATTCTAGCAGATTGTTTGCATGTTACACAATAACATAAGCTTTACTACAAACAGATGATAAACAGGTGCTGTCCCTGGCTGGAAGGAAATAAGTAGCTAAAGATCAGTTTTTTGTTGCTTTTTTTAACCCCGTTGGGCTTTTCTTTTAATTGATGTTTAAGTGGTACAAATACAAATCATGGTTGTTTGGTTTTTTCCACTTTAAAGCTAAAACAATACAACGTTTTAGCCAAACCAAAAATAATGAACAGGATTTAAAATAATCTCCTAACATGTTACATATAAGGCTCGCATAGGGGACTGAGGGGAACCAATATAGAACTGAGCCTTTAGCACCCTTTGTGTTTTTACATTTAGAGCCTCCATAGAAACTGTGGACAAGTTGACCCCTGCACCCCTTTCACACACACATCTATGCCCCTTGTGTTTTCGTGGGAAGTCCCAGTCAACACAATACCCAATCACTTGAATTCCCAAAGATTAGTGTGCTGATTCAAGCAGGCACCTTAAACAGCATTTTTATTTCAATCACTGAAAGAATAATCCGATTCCATAAGCATTTTGAACATGTGCGATTTCATTTGTTGGGCTTCTTGTTATATAAAGGAAAGAGGAAGAAATTTTGACTCTCTTGTGCGTTTCACGTCTTTCAAGCTTTTAAGGCTTACCTGAGCTGTGGACAAACTATCAATAAAATTAATTTGGTTCCTTAAACAATGGTGGCTTTTGAAACACCCAGCAACACAGTGTTTGACTTGGATTAATGAGTCACTCAGTACGAGTCCTTCTAAAGATCCTCCGCATCAATCTGAGTAAAGGATTGCCTTTGAGTGCTATGGAAGCCCTCTCCCACAGGCTCTCCTTTTTCCACAGACCCAGACCCTTCTTCTCAGCTTTCACCTCTGCCCTGTGTAGCCGTTTGTGCAGGCGCCAGTAGAGAGGCGAGCCTAGGGGGACCCCTGTGATGGTTGTCCTGCGAGCCAGGCCAAGCCGGAGGAGCTCTTCGTTCATGCAGTAACTCCATATTGACCCCTGCTGGAGAGATGCAGACAGTGAGAAAATTACAAAATAGAAGCTATCAAAGAAGAAAAGCTATTATTTTTGTTAGTTTACCCTCAATAAGATTGAAATTCAGTCCAGCTAACTAAGAGTTAAATAAATCATGTTCATCTTTACCAGCTAGATATTGAGAAATAAGTTCCACATTTCAAGATTAGATAATACTCATCCCATTATCATATTTTGCCTGAAATAATGTGAAAAAATATATATTTGTACAGTTTGGCCCCAAATTGTTCCATCTGTGGGCAGATTTAGGTTTAAAGTAATCTTTAAAGTTGATCAACAAGCTTCTGAATGGAGGTAATATTAGCATCTTAAAAAGGCTTTTATCAAGTTCTGACTTGGAATTAACAGAGCATCAGTGGAGGAAGATTGGAATGACGGCGAGGAGGCCTTGTAACCTCCAAGTAACTATCTTGTTAATAAGGCACATAAACAAAGCTACATTTTCAAAACACTAGTCATGTATAAAACAGGTAAGCAATTACAGGAAGAGTATAATTGGTATAATGCCAATGATTTACACTGTGTTCAGCTCCACTGTGCTGCAAATGTTTTCACCATTCTAATCTACACTGTATCCAGTGTGAAATCCAGAGGCGCACAAAGGGGTGTTTGCAGATCTCAGAGTAAAAAATGGTGATAAACGCTGAAATCAGATGAACACAACAGACTGTATGG